GTCTGTCAACCAGTCGCCTGGATGCAGTGGCCGAATCTCTGCTCTGCCAGCTCTCTCCCGGGGTTCAGGCCATTCCCTGCCCTCAGCCTCCGGGGTACGGGAACTCACAGGACGCCGACATGCCTGACTAGATTTTTTTGTATGTTAGATAGAGACTGGTTTACATGTTACTGCCCCGGATGGTCCCTAATTTCCTGAACTCGTATCCTCCTGCGCTCAAGCCTCCCAAACTGCTGGAGTCCAGGGTAGCCACGCGCCCGCCAGGCATCCCTTTGACCTGGGAGCAGGGGTTGCAGTGAGCCTGACATTGGTGCCACTGCACTCCAGCCCTGGACGAACAGACGAGACTCCATTCAAAAAAAGGAGGAGAAGGAGGAAGATACTGTAAAAGTGCTTGATTCTATTCTCCTGTTTTCCTTCTCCTGGGCCTGTTGTCCTATTAACGAAGATAGAGCCACAGAAGCTCCTGGGCACGCCTTAGCTCTACCTGAGGCATGGGCATACTGCTGTCCCGTCTCGCTGCACAGGCTTGAGCTCCTGCCAGGGCACTCCACCTGATCCACCTCCTGCCCTCGCCTCGCATCGCAAGGCTTCTACCTGTCTCTCCGGCGGAAGAATAAGGCCAGCTAAACGCCATCCCCTGGGATCTCAAGCTTTCCTTGTATACTCGGAACCCACGCCGGTGGCAGTTGTCTCATGCCACTGAGGCAGACGAGGGGACAGGGAGGCGTCACTCTGCACGTTGCTCACTTGCTGATGTCGCGCCACTGCAAGCCTGTTCCACCCTTCCTTGGTACCTGCCGCCACTGGCCGAGAACTGTTTGATCTCGCGGCCTTTTAAGTTACCAGGAGCAGGCCAGGCGCGGTGGCTCACGCCCTGTAATCCCAGCAACTTTCGTGGCCGAGCCCCCCCCAGGCGATCACGAAGGTCAGGAGATTCGAGACATACCTGGTAACACGTTGAAACCCCGTCTCTACTAAATACAAAATTAGCCGGCGGCGTGACGGGCAGCCTGTAGTCCCAGCTACTTTGGAGGCTGAGGAGGAGATGCGTTAACCCGGGAGGCGTAGTTTGCCGTGAAGCCGAGAATCCAGCACTTTCTCCGCCGGGGCTGCGCAGGCGAGACTCGCTCAGAAAAAAAACAAAAAAAAAAGCCAGGAGCCGAGTTGGAAAAAAAAGAAAAGCAGACGCCATTTGTTCCCCTGAATAGTTCGCCCTCATTTCAGGGCTGTGTCTTATATCCCCCACGCCCTTCACCTGGTCGTCACAGGCACTCCAGGTCCAAGGTGCTAGCCTGAGCTCTGAGGTGGCGGGAAGAGACTAACGAGGTGTCGACCTTCCCAGTGCTTGGCTTATTTCCTTTTATATTTTGTAAAAGGTCGGGCGCAGTGCTCATCTGTATTCCCTGCACTTTGAGGCCAGGTGAGTGGATCACCTGAGGTCAGGAGTTTTAAGACGCGGCTCCAGCGTGGTGAACGCTATCTCTACTGAAATACAAAAATATTAGCCGCTGTGGCAAAGGTGCCTGTATCCCACTACTCGGGAGGTGGCTTAGGCGGAAAATCGCTTGACTGGGAAAAACGGTGAGGTTGGCAGTGGCTGAGATCACATGCACTACACCTGGTAACAGAAGCACGAAAAATATATACTATCTATAATCTAAATTATATATATACATAATATTTGTAGAGCAGGGTCTCCTGATTTGCTCGCGGTCTAGAACTCCTGGGCTCGGCAACCCTCCCACCGTTGGCCGCAATGTGCAAGGTTACAGGCTGAGAAAAATATATATATCTATATATCTATATATATATATATATATTTGTAGAGACAGGGTCTCACTGATTTGCTCAGGCTGGTCTAGAACTCCTGGGCTCAGGCAACCCTCCCACCTTGGCCCCGCAAGGTGCAAGGGTTACAGGCCTGAGCCACTGCCCTGGCCTAATCTAGATTCTTTTTTTTTTTTTTTTTAGATGGAGTCTCGCTCTGTCACCCAGGCTGGAGTGCAGTGGCATAATCTTGGCTCACTGCAGCCTCTGCCTGCTGAGTTCAAGCAATTCTGTCTCAGCCTCCCAAGTAGCTGGGATTACAGGTACGGGCCACCATGCCTGGCTAATTTTTGTATTTTTAGTAAAGGTGGGGTTTCTCCATGTTGGCCAGGCTGGTCTTGAACTCCAAACCTCTGGTGATCCACCTGTCTCGCCCTCCCAAACTGCTGGGATTACAGGCATGAGCCACGGTCCCTGGCCTAGATTCTTAATGAGATTGCTGAGCTGTCACCTAAGAAATGTCCTGGTTGTGCTTTGATTTGGTGGGGGGTGTGGGACAATGACAACACCTATGAATTCGCAGCTTCAAAAACCGGTGTGGCCAGGCATGATGGCTCACGCCTGGAATCCCAGCACTTTGGGAGGCTGAGGCGGGTGGATCATGAGGTCAGGAGTTGGAGACCAGCCTGACCAACACGGTGAAACCCCATCTATACTAAAAATACAAAAATCAGCTGGGCGTGGTGGTGGGCACCTGTAATCCCAGCTACTCAGGAGGCTGAGGCAGGAGAATTGCTTGAACCCAGGAGGTGGAGGTTGCAGTGAGCCAAGATTGCACCACTGCACTCCAGCCTGGGTGACAGAGTAAGACTCTGTCTCAAAAAAAAAACAAGCGGGGAAGAAAATGGGATAGAGGAGAGGGAGGGACAAATATCACTACCTTGAGGATTTGCAAAGGGCTGGCTCCGTCCTGGACTCTTTTTCCAGACATTACCCCCCAACCCCCATCCCGCATGCTACAGGGGTTGGTGAGGGTTTTAAGAGCCACATCTAGGTGAGCAGTGTGGGACAGAAAAAAGGGCACAAGCAGGGCCATGGGGAATGAGCCCATAACTGTGGTCCAAATGCCCTGAATGCCATCCTTATTCTGGAACTTTCCTTGTTAGCCAACTGGCTGTCTGCTCTCCCTTCTCCAGTGATGATCGTCCCCTTCAGGCCTCTGAGAGGGTCAGCGCTGAGCAGCCCTTTTGGGTCAGCAGCCTGAGCCTGGCCCTGGGATTTCAGGGGTACCACAGGCACACTGCGCTCCCTTCACAGGGAAATGCTGCTCTGCCCACACAGGCATCCTTGCGTGCCCCCTTAACAGGCAGCCCTTCTGTTCACAGCATGGGTTACCAGATCAAACCCTGCCACCACCGTGGGGAACTTGGTTCGGAGCCCCATGGCCGTTCGGATGGATTCTGCAATGACAGTCACGTCTTTGGATCTGTGAGAGACAGAGAAGCCGGGAGACAGTGCCCAAAACCAACAGAGCACAAACCCCAGAGCACTCCCTCCGTGCAGGGCTGGGCCGGCCCCGAGTGTGCAGGAGCCGTTTCCCAAACCTGAGGCACCCCTGCCCTCCTAACCCCACCCGGACCAAGCCATTGTGACCCTTGAGAGACATTTAGCCCAAAATCCATTCTTATTCAGAGATCCTTTCTGGCTCTGGGGGCACCTGTAGTCTCTGAAAAGTAGGTGGGGTCAGAGGACCCACAGGAACAGTTTCATTTGTCTGCATTTAGAGGAGGCCAAGTGGCCTCGTTCCCGACTCTCCCCGCATCTCTGTCGGGGACTCAGACATGGATGCAGTTCAGGGGCAGCTGTCTGTCCACTGGACGCCTGCAAAGGGCCACAGGTCACCCAAGTCCCTGATGGGTCGGCTGGACCCAGTAACCATCTGGCCTCTCGCTGATTAAGTCAGCAAGACTCTGGGCACTGCAGAACCCTACAGGGGCAAGGCAGGCAGCATGACAACGAAAGCCCCAGAACACAGGCTCTGGCGCAAGCCCACAATGGGCTCAAGGTCTTTGCCCTGCCACTAGCTGGCTCTCCCGCTCCAATCCTCCGCTCTGTGGGGACAAAGCCTTCCTGGCCCGCCCTTCCATGGCCTCTCCCCGGAGTCTAGGTGAACCTGGGGACATTGATACCCTCAGCTCAGCCCTCACATCCTCCTGCCACTGGCCCTGGGAAGGGACACCTGGCACCAGGGAGCCTCTGAGCAGAACATGGGCCCATCCTGCAAGCTCCCTCCTAGGGGGACGGGCACAATCCCTCCTAGGGGGACCGGCGCAAAGCCAGAGCTCAGCTCCTCCAGGCCCCAGGCCCCATGGAAGAGGTGGGGCACTCAGGAAGACTGGGCACAGGAGGAGGCTCCTGGGGAGTCAATGCCCTCCAGAGCCCAGGCTCGTGGTGGGCTAGGCAGATGGAGCCGCTGCCGGATCCCTCCGGTGCCCACCCCATGCCTGACTCCGAGTGATCCCACTGGCTGCTGCCCTTGCGGCTGAGACCATGGACAGGTCCCAGCCTTAGACTGGCTGCTCTTGAAACTGAGGGAAGGGGTCTTGTCTGGTAAAGTCGGAAGGACAATTAAGCTGCAAAGCTTTCTGTGCTTCCTTGGGAAAAAGAGTGGGTCTTTCACCCACGTGCCAGGCCACGCACACGGCACTACTGGAGGTCCCCACATGCAGACCTGAGCCAGTGCCCTCAGGGCATCTCCCTGATCAAGGATTCACACGCAACCACACACAGAACCCAGAGGCGAATTGAAACCAAAAAATGGGCCAATTATCCAAACATTCACGGGAAACCATTATGCTCATAACTGAGTCACCAGGCCAATGTGGGGTCACAGCCGAGAATCATCTGGGAAATTCACACATTCTTCATTTCAGTTTGGGGGTGAAGACCCGAACTAGAAGTGGCTTCAGGGAGCAATTCATTGCTGGGTCACCGCACTTCCCTACTACTGTGCTCACACACAGAGGCACAGCGCAGCTCCTTGGCACCAGCGCTGGGCCTCTCCTGGCCTCCCAGCCCCGCTTCTCACCCCTCCCCTCCCAGTCCAGCAGCTCTGCCTGCATCCCAGTCTCCCAACCCGAGCTCTTTAGCAATATTCTCTCTTACCTGTCATCTGAATAAATGATTTTGATTCCAATAAACTCAGGGTGAGTTTCCACAAACTTCTGAGCTACTTCCTGGTAAGTCTTCACTGACCACTCTTCGTCGTGGTGCTCTCCACTGAGCTCATACACCTGGGAAGAAAGCACAACCAGGAGCCGTCAGGTGAGCAGAAAGAGACACCCTTCCCAGCCACCTCCTTCCCAGCCACCCCCTTCCCGGCCACCCCTGCCCAGCCACCTTTACCCAGCCACCCCTGCCCAGCCACCTCCTTCCTAACCACCCGCTGTCAGCCACCTCCTTCCCAACCAACTCCTTCCCAGCCGTCAGCAAGCTCTGGGAAAAGTAGATGGGGTCAGGGGACTCACAAAACAGTTTTATTTGTGTTTGGATGAGACCAAGTGGCCTTGTTCCCAAAAGTCCAGCCAGGCTGGACTTGTGCTTCCCTTGTTCAGGTCCTCTACGGCCTCGGACATTGTCTCTGCCGCTGCATGGGGAATTCCTAGCTGGCTCTGGGATAACCCTGATGTCCGCCTGTCTCCTTCATTGCTGGGTCACTGCACTTAAAACGGCGCCTAGCACCTGCGAGGGTAGGTGGCCATTAAGCATTTGCATAATGGTTGAAGAACAGGTCACGGAGGGACAGGATGAAAGCCAGAAAGAGTGATCTGAGAATGACGTCATTCCCCACTACCTGCTCACCTCCGCACTGCTTCCCTAACTCCAGGTGCAGCAGCTGCAAGGTGGCCAGTGCCACCAGGGACAGCAAGGGGGCACAGTGAGAGCAGAGTGGGGACAGCTGGGAGTGGGCAGGTGACAAGGAAGCTAAGGGAAGAGAGGTGTGTAATGGGGAAAGGACATCAACAATATCCCTGGAGGCCCCGTGTGGTGGCTCACACCTATAATCCTAGCACTTTGGGAGGCCGAGGCAGGCGGATCACTTGAGGTCAGGAGTTCGAGACCAGCCTGGCCAACATGGTGAAACCCCCCATCTCTACTAAAAATACAAGATTAGCTGGGCATGGTGACATGTGCCTGTTAATCCCAGCTACTGGGGAGGCTGAGGCAGGAGAATCGCTTGAACCCGGGAGGCAGAGGTTGCAGTGAGCCAAGATCACGCCACTATACTCCAGCCTGGGCGACAAAGCAAGACTCTGTCTCAAAAAAAAAAAAAAAAAAAAAAAGGGCCCTCTCTCTTCCTTGGCGCCGCCTATAGAGGTGACAGCCGTCTCCTCCTCAGCATCATGGCCGCCCACAGACCCCTTGTGAAGCCTGATGGTCAAAAAGACAACCAAAAAGTTCATCTGGCACCAGTCTGACTGATACGTCAAAATTAAGCGTAACTGGCGGAAACCCAGAGGTACTGACAAAGGGGTTCATAGAAGGTTCAAGGGCCAGATCTTGACAACCAACATTGGTTATGGGAGCAACAAAAAAACAAAGCACATGCTGCCCGGTGGCTTCCGGAAGTTGCTGGTCCACAACATCAAGGAGCTGGAAGTGCTGCTGATGTGCAACAGATCTCCCTGTGCCGACATTGCCCACATTTCCTCCAAGAACCGCAAAGCCATCACGGGAAGAGCTACCCAGCTGGCCATCAGAGTCACCAACCCCAACGCCAGGCTGCGCAGCAAAGAAAATGAGTAGACAGCTCATGTGCACGTTTTGTGTTTAAATAAAACTGTAAAAACTGAAGGGAAAAAAAAAAAGGGGTCGGGCACGGTGGCTCATGCCTGTAATCCCAGCACTTTGGGAGGCTGAGGCGGGTGGATCACGAGGTCAGGAGTTCGAGACCAACCTGGCCAATATGGTGAAACCCCATCTCTACTAAAAATACAAAAATTAGCCGGGTGTGGTGCTGCATGCCTGTAGTCCCAGCTACTCGGAGGCTGAGGCAGGAGAATGGCATAAACCTGGGAGGCAGAGGTTGCAGTGAGTTGAGATCACGCCATTGCATTCCAGCCTGGGCGACACAGCAAGACTCCACCTCAAAAAAAGAAAAAAGAAAAAAAAGATGTGGGAATTTCTTTTTTTTTTTTTTTTTTTTTTTTTAGATGGAGTCTGGCTCTGTCGCCCAGGCTGGAGTGCAGTGGCCGGATCTCAGCTCACTGCAAGCTCCGCCTCCCAGGTTTACGCCATTCTCCTGCCTCAGCCTCCAGAGTAGCTGGGACTACAGGCGCCCGCCACCTCGCCCGGCTAGTTTTTTTTATTTTTAGTAGAGACGGGGTTTCACCGTGTTCGCCAGGATGGTCTCGATCTCCTGACCTCGTGATCCGCCCGTCTCGGCCTCCCAAAGTTCTGGGATTACAGGCTTGAGCCACCGCGCCCGGCCAGATGTGGGAATTTCTGCAGAGACTGTGGGGTGAAGGAGATAGAGAGCAATAATATGGAGGTGTCGATTACTTCCATGGCCATCAATGAAGCCCTTATGATGTAAAAGGAATAGGGCTGGGCACTGGAAGGGATGAAAAGTGCTAATAGACAAGATAGCTGCCCTCACGAGGGACAACATAGTCAGAGAGATAGATTTGACCCACTGAAAAGAACTCACGCCTGTAATCCCAGCACTTGGGAGGCCGAGGCAGGAGGATCACTCGAGTCCAGGAGGTCAAGACCAGCCTGGGTAATGAGTGAGTTCCTGTCTGTAAAAAGGAATGAAAAAAATAATGGAATACGTGCTAAAGAGAAGCACATGGACTCCCAGAAGAAGAAGAAATTTGTTGTGACTGGATGGGTCAAAGAAGGTTGCTAGTCCTGACCAAGGGAACGGTGGCTCCACACAGAGCCAAGAGCTGCCTCGGGGGATGGGGGGTTCAAGGAGCCGAGGTTGAGACCTGCAGTGGGGGCCAGGAGCTGTCCTCTCACTAAGGAAGAAACACCCTTCCTCCTCCTGGGACTCGGCTCTTGCCTCTGTGGCATCTCAGGAACTGGGTCCTTGGGAGTCCACCTCCTCTGCTCATTCCCAGCAGCCCCTTGCTTCACTCCTGTCTCCCAGCCTAGGGGCCTCCCACACCCCTCCAGGCTGCGGCCACTATGTGTCCTTTCCCTCTGGGCAGTCCCTCAGATCCCCACTTTCCCCCAGGCCCACAGAGCAGCACTGCTGCTCTCTGATCTCCAGGGTGCCGCCCTGCTGCCTGGGCAGGGGCAGTGGGAGAGCAGGCAGCGAGGCGCTCTGCTGGTCTTTGCTCTTCTGTTTCCTCTGCTGCCCCCATGAAGCGTGGCACCTCACACAGCCCCCCATACCCTGCAGCTGGCCAGGCCACACATTCTGCTCAGGCAGTTTCCCTGACTGCCTGACCCGGCACAGACACTAAAGTTCAGGGCTACTGAACTTTAAGGCTGCCAGAGTGTGCCAGAGGAGAGAACCTTAGGTACTGTTCATTCAGGATCTGGTATTGTCCATTATTATTATTATTATTATTATTATTATTATTATTATTTACTGAAGGGGGTCAGAATACATCACCCCAAATAGGCCACTTTAGCAGAAGAAATATTTTTAGCTGAAGGCAATTAAGAAGCAGTAAATGGGTCGGGCGCAGTGGCTCAAGCCTGTAATCCCAGCACTTTGGGAGGCCGAGGCGGGTGGATCACGAGGTCAGGAGATCGAGACCATCCTGGCTAACACGGTGAAACCCCGTCTCTACTAAAAAATACAAAAAACTAGACGGGTGAGGTGGCGGGCACCTGTAGTCCCAGCTACTTGGGAGGCTGAGGCAGGAGAATGGCGTAAACCCGGGAGGCGGAGCTTGCAGTGAGCTGAGATCCGGCCACGGCACTCTAGCCTGGGCGACAGAGCGAGACTCCGTCTCAAAAAAATAAATAAATAAATAAATAGAAGCAGTAAATGAAGAAAGAGCTTTTGCCCACCTCATCTGCCTAAATTTCCCTTTGTGAAGGTGTCACCCTCCCCTCTCCCGTACCAGAACAATCACCCTTACCACTGGAAACAGAAAGTTGCTACCAAGATGGGTCTGCACAAACCAGCCTTATAAAATTGACCTTATCTTCCATTAGTTTTCTCCATATGATTACCTGCCCACAAAGTACTGTCCCTAGAAGCCCAAACCCCTTTTCCTTCATCTTGTCACTTCTTCACAATTTACTACCAGTTGTTAAAATGGAATATAAGCCCCCAGTCTAACTTCTTTGGTGCTTCACATCTTTTTAAGGAAGGCCTCCATCTATCTGTGCACACAGCAAATTTTTAGGCTGGACGCAGTGGCTCACGCCTGTAATCCCAGCACTTTGGGAGGCAGAGGTGGATCACCTCAGGCAAATCACCTGAGGACAGGAGTTGGAGACTATCCTGGCCAACATGGTGAAACCCCATCTCTATTAAAAATACAAAAAAAAAAAATTTTTTTAAACTTTTTTTTTTGCAACCGTCTTGCTGTATTGTCCAGGCTGGAGTGCAGTGGCACCAATCTTGGTTTACTGTCCGTTTCACTCTTATTCTGTCATGGATATACAGTAGAATTTTCCTGAAGTTGCATCATGTGTGATATCATTGTGACTGGTAATGCCAATAATGGATTATGTGCTTGTATTTAGAATTTTTTTTTTTTTTGAGACAGAGCCTCGCTCTGTCACCCAGGGTGGAGTGCAGTGGAGCGATCTCGGCTCACTGTGACCTCCGCCTCCTGGATTCAAGTAAGTCTCCTGCCTCAGATTCCTGAGTAGCTGGGATTAGAGGCACATGCCACCACACTTGGCTATTTTTTTGTATTTTTGATAGAGACGGGGTTTCACCATGTTGGTCAGGCTGGTCCTGACCTCATGATCTGCTTGCCTTGGCCTCGCAAAGTGCTGGGATGACAGATGTGAGCCACTGCGCCCGGCTAGAAAATTTCTTAATTTTGGCCGGGCACGGTGGCTCACACCTGTCATCCTAGTATGTTGGGGGGCCAAGGCAAGTGGATCACTTGAGGTCAAGAATTCAAGACCAGCCTGGCCAACACGGTGAAACCCCCCTCTACTAAAAATACAAAAACTTGCTGTAATCCCAGCTACTTGGGAGGCTGATGCAGGAGAATCACTTGAACCCAGGAGGCGGAGGTTGCAGGGAGCCAAGATCGCGTGCCATTGTACTCCAGCCTGGGCGACAAAAGCGAAACTCCATCTCAAAAAAAAG